TTGTTTAAAGTTTTTTCTAAGCTGACATATAATAAGTATACATATTTATGGGGTTCATAGTGGTGTTTCTAAACATATATAGTTTTCAGATCAGGGTAATTAGTGTATCCATCATCTTGAACAATGATCAGTTCTTTGTGTTAGGAACATTCAATATCCTCCTTCTAACTATTGGAATCTATATAATATATTATGGTTAACTACAGTCATCCTGCAATGCTATGGAACACTAGAACGTATTTCTCCTGTCTAGCTGTGATTTTGTGTCCTTTAACAACTCTGTCCCCATCCACCCGCTTACCCCCAAACAAACCCTTCCCAGCCTCTAGTATGCTCTATTCTACTTTATACTTTTATGAAATAAACCTTTGTTTAGCTTCCACATATGAATAAAGAACACGTGATATTTGTCTTTCTGTGCCTGGCTTATTTCACTTAACGTCCTCCAGTTCCATCCATGATGCCATGAATGACAAGACTTCATGCTTTTTTATGTCTGAATGGTATTCCATTGTGTATATATACCACATTTTCTTTACCCATTTGTCTGTTACTGGACACCTAGGTGGATTCCCTCTCCTGGCTATGGTGAATAATGCTACAGTAAACCTGGGGTACAGATGTCTCTTTGATGTACTGATTTCCTTGGGATAAATGTTCAGTAGTGGGTTTGCTGGATCGTACGGTAGTTCTATCTATAGTTTTTTGAGGAAAGTTCATACTGCTCTCCGTAGTGGCTGCACTAGTTTACATTCCCACTAACAGTGTCTAATAGTTCCTTTTTTTTCTTTTTTCATCCTTGCCAGCACTTTTGTATTTTGTCACCTCATCCTACTGGAGTGAGATGATACTTCATTGTGGTTTTGATTTGCATTGATTTGCATTTCCCTGATGATTAGTAATGTTGAACATTGTTTCATGTATTTGTTAGTGAAAATGTTTTAAGGATGGCACTATTACTTGTTTTAAGAAGTCATTTATTAGCCGGGCGCAGTGGCTCACGCCTGTAATCCCAGCACTTTGGGAGGCCAAGGCAAGCAGATCATGAAGTCAGGAGATGCCATCCTGGCTAACACAGTGAGATCCCGTCTCTACTAAAAATACAAAAACAAAATTAGCTGGGTGTGGTGGTGGGCGCCTGTAGTGGTGGGCACCTGTAGTCCCAGCCACTCGGGAGGCTGAGGCAGCAGAATGGCATGAACCCGGGAGGTAGAGCTTGCAGTGAGCCGAGATTGCGCCACTGCACTCCAACCTGGGCGACAGAGTGAGACATCATCTCAAAAAAAAAAAAAAAAAAGTCATTTATTTTTATTTTTATATGGATTAAAAAATTAGTGCTCAACCATGGTAAAAAAAAAAATTGGAAAATATAAAATCCCCTTACCTAGCAGTGATGGTTAATATTTAGCTATATTTCCCTTTTATTTTTACAGCAGTTTAGAATGATTCACACAGTTGACATCATACTATGACATCATTTTCTAATCTGCTTTCCACTTAGCATTCAAATGTAAGCATTGTCCATGGTATGCAGGGTCTTCGTTGCTAATTTTAAATGGCCTTATAATAGTCCAGAGAGTGGCTCTCCATTGATTCTTTAATCCTGGCTGGTTTCGCTCCCCACCCCGTTACGTTCCAGCCACACTCGTTTGCTTGGCATTCCTTTAACACACCATGCTCATTTCTGCCCCAGGACCTTTGTGCTGCCTCTTCCTTCAACCTCTGAAGCACTTCCCTGGTTTTTTATGTAGTAGCTCCTTCTCACCCTTCATAGCTCAGTTAATATATCACGACTTCAGATAGAGCCCGCTTTGACCACCATAGATACCAAACGACTCCTTCAGTCTCTCTTGATCTCAGCACCCTGCTTTAGTTTCTGTTTGGCAGAGAGCAGAGGGAACTTTATAATTTTATGGCCAGAAATGATCTTATCTATTTGTTTACTTGTCTACTGTCACACTCCCTCAACGGACTATAAGCTCCATGAGGACAGGCACTTTGTTTGTCTTGCTCATTGATTTCGGTGGCAGACACAGTGCCTGTCACATGGAGGGAGCTCAGTCAACATGTACAGAGTAAGCAGATGGCTGGTTAGATGGTTGGATGTGTGATTGGATAAGGAGTTGAAAGATAGGTAGGCGGCTTGCAGGGGGTAGTGCATGCCTGGATGGATAAGTAAATGGATACGTGGGTGGGTGAATCAATCATAATTTTACTAACCATTCCCCAATTTCACATTTAGAGTGCTTCCCCATGATATTTTTAATCGCTTTGAAAAAGTAAGCAATGCAGGCCAGGCGCAGTGGCTCACGCCTGTAATCCCAGCACTTTGGGAGGCCGAGGCGGGCAGATCATGAGGTCAGGAGACCGAGACCATCCTGGTTAACACGATGAAACCCCGTCTCTACTAAAAATCCAAAAAAATTAGCCGGGAGTGGTGGCAGGTGCCTGTAGTCCCAGCTACTCGGGAGGCTGAGGCAGGAGAATAGCGTGAACCTGGGAGGCGGAGCTTGCAGTGAGCCAAGATGGCGCCACCGCCTGGGCGAGAGAGCGAGACTCCGGTCTCAGAAAAAAAAAAAAAAAAGAAAAGCAAAAAAGAGAGAACAAGTAAGTAATGCAAAAATGCAAATGGCAAGGAAGTCTGATAAGCAAGTCTCTTGGGAAAGCTGACTCCTCCAGGGCCATTGCCTAGGGGCCCAGGCCTGGGCGGTTGTCCAAGCTCCCTGCTGAGGGGGCTGGCCTGGAGATTGGGAGGGTGTTGAGATTCTCCGGGGTCCTCTTGGGCGTTCATTCACCCCCCATGCCCAGGGCCTCACTGCCACGCCTCTGTTTTGTCCCTTGTGCAGTTGGCCGGAAGCAGTTCATGAGGTTTGAGTGGGCAAACTATGCAGCCGAGGCCCTCGGCTGCGAGTATGAGGAGCTGAACACGGCCACCTTCAAACACCACCTTCGACAGATCATCCAGCAAATGACGTTTGGGCCAAGCCAAAGGGGCCTCGAGGACGAGGAAACCAGCTCAGGTACATGGCTGCTGCCTCTCTGGGTGAGCTGGGCCCCCTCTGGGCCAGCTCCTGGGGATACACCAACATTCTTTAACTTTTTTTTTTTTTTTTTAATCAAAGATTTGTTAAGGGCCTACGCTATGAAGGCCTGTGTTAGGTGCAGGGGAAGCCATCGTGGGCGGAAAGGGACATTGTTTCTTCCTGGTCAATGCTAATGCTCAAATAACTACCTCGGTTCAGTGGTTATGAAGGCTGCTGAAACCTGGCAGGGAGCTCCGCGCTGTGGGGAGGGGATGCCATGGGCAGGGCCAATGGACCAATGCATTTCCATTGGATTTCATGTTTGTTGAGCACCTACTAGGTAGGGGAAAGACTAGTCTTTCTGTTTGAGGGATGGAAATAAAGCCCGAATGGCTGGTGCGAGATGGAGGGATGGGAGAAGATGAGGGTGGAGAGCAAGGTGTGGTCAGCTCGCTAAGGGTTTATAAACGAAGGTTTTTATTCTCAGACCCTTGGGAAGCCATGGAGTGCCTTCAGCAGGGGGATGGCGTGATTTGGCTTTAAGAAGCTCAGCCTGGATGAAAGTTGGGGAGTGAGTGGGAGAAGGGAGACCCACTGGGAACCTACAAAAATCACCAGGTGATAGGTGGTAGTGGGAAGTGCTTGTGGAGATGGGGCAGGTGGGGACAGGTTCAGGGTCTGGTTTACAAGCTGAGGTGTTAGCGTGGGCCCTAAGAGAAGGGCAGAGACCAGCAGTGGCTGCTAGGATTTTGGCCTGAGCAGCTGGAAGAACGAGGGCGTTTTGAACTGCCGTGGGGGAAAAGCAGGAGGACTTTGTACTGTACCTGCAAGGATGTGATCTGCCGAGTCCCAAGTCTGCAGCCTCTGTACATCTTTGGGGGCTCTCTAAGAACAGCTGTCCTAAAAATTAAAAAAAATCAAAAATCAAAAAAAAAAAAAAAAAAAGAAAACTTAAAAAAAAAAAAAAAGAACAGCTGTCCTTGAGACAACAGAGTTTAGGATTAATGAGTAGAAGTGTTGTGAGCTGTGGTTTTGGGACTCATCTCTTGGAGCTCCTTTGCACCTTTGGCATTGCTTCCACCTTCCAGGGACTTCGGCGTAGGGGCTAATGTCACTTGGACCCCATTGGCCCTCTGTGTCTCCTTTCAGGCCTGTGCTCTGGTGTGAGCTGTGGTTTTCTTGAAGATTACCTCTCCTCTTCGCCATACACACACATTCACAGAAGCATGCACATATATGCTTGCACACACCACACATATGCACAGCACAAGTTGTGTATGCACATCTGTGCACAGATACACACCACAGAATCACACACATGAACACACACATGCACAGACACCAGCACACATATACTGTAAGCATGCACACCACACACACATGCACAGATATGCATGGCACGTGTGTGTGTAAACATGTGCACAGATATATATGACACATGCACATACCACACAACTACACACACATGCATAGACACAAGCACCCGTGCACACTTATGCACAGGCACAAACACCACACACGTACTTAAGGACGGGCGCATCACACACAGGCGCAGACACATGCAGTCACTGCTTTGTGAGTCTGAGTTAACCTCTCAGGCTGAGGTCTCAAGAGTAGACATTAAGCAGGCAGGGGACCTTCGGGCTTAGGAGAGAGGCTGGGAGGCTGCGGGTTGCCTAGCAACAGCCCAGGTTGGGGGTGGATTCCGAGGAGGGGTGGGAAATGCTTTCGGGGCTGCAGTGGGCTGCCTGGAATGTGCAAGCAGAATTACTCCCCCAGGCACTAGTGCGCACCGATTTGGAAACTGTGTTTTCAGTTTTTTAGACGGAACTAAAACTTAAGGGACGTAATTTGTGATCTGACCCCCTACACTCCTCACTCTGCTTTGTTCAATGCACCCTAATCAAGGCTGGTGATTGTAATGGGATGCGTACACGTGCGTGCATGCGAGTGTGTGTGTGTGTGTGTGTTAGAGCAAAATCGAGTCCACAACTGTAATTATAGTTTTTGGGCTTTTATATTCCTCCTGACATTCTAGGTAGGCACTTTTCCAATCTCATTCAATATTCTTCATACCTGACTTTAAGCATTCCTTTGTATGGGCAGACTACAAATTACCTAACCCATTTTCTATTGTTGAGCACTCAAGTCATTTCAAAAAAGTGATTTTTGCCAATTTAATCAACAATTGGAAGAACCTATGTCCCCAGCAAGCTTTATTTCTCTGAATGTTTCATTAGAATAAAAGCCTAGAAGTGAAATGATTAGGTCCCAGTATACGAACATTTTATGACTTCGGATACAAAATAGCCAAATTTCTTTCCAGAAAAGGAATCATAAACATTTACTGAGTGTCTGCTCTATGCCAGACACTGGCAATTTAAAGGTCAACAAACCCAGGGACAGGGTCTATCTTCAGGGCACGCCCAGCCTCATGAGGGAGACACAGGTTAATACAATAACTGTACTAGAAAGATTATGCTATGGGAAGTGCTATTAGAGCAACGTAGAGCTGGGAATTGGCCTAGTGGTGGCGGTGGTGGTAGTCAAGGAAGGCTTTCCTGAGGAGGTGACATTTGGGCTGAGCCCTGAGGGATGAGCAGGAGATCACTCTGAGGTGAAGGTAGGGCAGATTACATAGGACCCTGTAGGCCCTGATAGGACACTTAGACTTTGTCCTAAGAACCTGGGGAAATAATTTCAGCAGTGGAGGGATGTGGCAAGAAACGAAGGATTTTCTAAGTTGAGTGGCCCCTGCTGCTCTGCAGTGATGTCCTTGGCCCGAGGCAAGATCCCTTACCGAGAATGCTGATTCTGTCCTCTTTCCCAGGGCTCAAGATGACAGGAGTGGAGTGTGTGGAGGGGATGGCCTCGGGCCTATACCAGGAGCTCTTTGCGGCCGTGGTCTCACTCATCAACAGGTAACGGGGCCTTTCCCTAGGCACACAGTTGGCCTCTTGCAGGTGCACAGATGAATTCACATACCGGGCAGTTGAGCAAAGTGGCAGTTTTTCAACTGGCGAGAGGGTTTCTGAGGTGGACAGGGCTGGGTTTAATTTCCACCTTGGCCACCCACTGGCTGTGTGGTCAGTAAATCAGTTCACTTTTCTGATCTCCCTTTCCTCATCTGTACAATAGCTCTCTCCCCAAGGACTGTTGTGAGGATTAAAAGAAATAATGAATTTAAATAACTCCTCCTGGCCAAACGTGGTGGCTCATGCCTGTAATCCCAGTACTTTGGGAGGCTGAAGTGAGAGGATCACCTGAGATCAGGAGTTCAAGACCAGCCTGGCACCATGGCGAAAACCTGTCTCTACTAAATATTACAAAAATTAGCTGGGCATGGTGGTGGGCGCCTGTAATCCCAGCTACTCGGGAGGCTGAGGCAGGGAGAATTGCTTGAACCTGGGAAACAGAGGTTTCAGTGAGCCGAGATCACACCACCGCACTCCAGCCTGGGTGACAGAGCGAGACTCTGTCTCAAAACAAAACAAAACAAATTCTTGTAAAAATACCAACAATAAAAGCTAAGCACTTTTGAATGTCTACTGAGGGCCAGGGATTGTACTAATTGTTTAACCTGCTTTGTGTCACCGAGTACTCACATGGACCCATTGTACAGAGGAGGAGACTAAAGCTTGAAGGGGAAAACCGAGATGCAAACGCAATGCCACATTCTCATCTCATACCTTCAGTTCCCCTGAATAGCCTAGCACATTGTTCTCATCCATTTATTTTTCAAAATTGTCTTGCTGGGGATGGGAGCAACATGGTAGAAATTTGGAGTGGGCCGGGGTGTGCCTCTGATGTGCCTCTGTGGGGCTGCAGGCCCGAGGAGCCTCTGTTTTCCATCGTTATGCACAAGGCACTGAGCCCATGCTTGGAAACCCTTGAAGCCGTTTTTTCAGCAGAGCTAATCCAGAGCCTAGGCAAAGGCTTGCCTTCCTCCTCTGTGAAAGCAGAAAGCATAATTAGGCTTCTGAAATCCTGTTAAAGGGATGAGGCTGGCGCGTAGCAACAGAGCAGCCGGGTTTCTCCAAGTTGTCGTGGACACAGAATCAAGTCCCTCTGACGCTGCCGAAGTAATTACCATCTGAGCCCACAGACATATTATCTAGAAACCAAGGGGATCATGCGTGCTTAGAGAAGGGAGTACTGGGAGTGGGAAATGAACTGCTGGCGGAGGAAACTGCCTTCACCAGTGAAGGGCAGCTGCTTCGAGGTTTGGGTTCTCAGAGGCCACGTCTGTGAAATGCTGCACTGATGATCAAAGTACCTACTACAGCATTTATAAGCACCTAGTAGGTGTCTGTCTTGCCAAGAATTAACCGACTTCATCTTCATGCATGTCTATGTGGTGGCTACTCTTATTATCCCCATATTATAGTTGGAAAACCTTGGCAAACAAGAGAAGAACCAAGGTTCAACTAAGGGCCCTGCAAAGCTCCTAGCTGATCATACTTATGGTGATGATAGCAGGTGACATTTACTGAGCACTAACCACGTGGCAAACTTCGCTTTCACAGCCACGGAAGCTTATCACACCCAACCCTCACAACAGCCCTCTGAGCTAGTCACCATCATTAACTGAGATGGTGGCTGAGACGGTGGAGGCTCAGAGAGGTTGGGCAACTCTCCAGAGATGCACATCCTCTCTGTCACAGAGCAAAGATTGAAGCCCACATGTGACTGGCTCTAAAGCCTCTTAAGTCCTGATTTTTGATGTGAATAATCCCTGCTCTGTCCACCCCTACAGATTCATCAGGAGAATACAAGGAGGTGATAGCTTGGAAGAATTTTGTAAACTGATGTATTAAATCAAATAGTTTTTTGATTTTAATAGGCCCCTGAAGAAAGAAAAAGAGGTCCTAGGCTTCACATGGTAGCCAACTTGCTGGGTGACCTTAAGCTTGTCATTTTTTTTTTTTTTTTTTTACTTTGGGCCAGTGGGAGGCAGTTTAATTCCTTTAGTCCTTATAACTGTCCCTGGGATAAATCTACTCACCCCCATCCTCATTTAACAGTTGGGGAAACCCCTGCTCAGAGAGGTTAAGTAGCTTGCCTGAGGTCACACAGCCTGTAAGAGTTGAGCTTAGTTTTGAAACCAGTTCTGCTGGAGGCTTGGATGAGTGTGCTCCTAGATTCCACGCCATCTCAGACATTCCACCTCCCTCTTCTCTGTCTAGATCCTTCTCCTCCCACCATCTCTCCATGGCCTCCATCATGGTGGTGGACTCTCCAGGCTTCCAGAACCCCCGGCACCAGGGCAAGGACCGGGCGGCCACCTTCGAGGAGCTGTGCCACAACTACGCCCATGAGCGCCTGCAGCTGCTGTTCTACCAGCGAACCTTTGTCTCCACGCTGCAGCGATACCGAGAGGTAGGCCTGGGCTGGAGCAGGGCCCTCACCAGAGCTCCGTGGAGGGTGTGAGCTCAGATGTGAAGTGTGAGATTCCCATTCCCCAGTAGCCTGCAACTTCACCCTGTTCGGTTCACCGGGGAACAAAGCCCTTTCCCCAGGCCTGGCTCCCCAGACCTCTGCTGCTCCCTCCACGGTCCAGCCTCCCCCGGCCACCTTCTGAACCCCACGGTCCAGAAGCACCAAGGAACTTGGACTTCCCCAGGCCTTTCTTCCATGGCTGTCCTTTCTTTGGGATGACTGCTTCATCCTCTCCCACTTCACTTAAGCAAAAGGCTCCTGCAAGAGTCAGACTACATCTGCCCGAGTGGGGAATGTCCTTCGAGTCCTGTGGGTGGGTGGAAGCAGTGGGCTGCACACCCCTCTGCAGCACAGCACAGTGATTCTCACAAAGTTGAAGGTGCATGCACCCCAAAACCCAGCAATTCCTCTTCTAGGAGGCACCTGAGAGAAACTCTGTGTGTGAACCAGGAAGCATGTACAGGCCTGATCCTGCCAGCCCTTATTTTCTCATGAAAAGAGGGAAAAAAAAAAAAAAGTTGAAATATAAGGCCAGGCGCAGTGGCTCATGTCTGTAATCCTAGCACTGTGGGAGGCCGAGGTGGGCGGATCACCTGAGGTCAGGAGTTCAAGACCAGTCTGACCAACATGGCGAAACTCCATCTCTACTAAAAATACAAAATTTAGCCAGGCGCAGTGGCGCGGGCCTGTAATCCCAGCTACCCGAAAGGCTGAGGCAGGAGAATCACTTGAACCTGGGAGGCAGAGGTTGTGGTGAGCTGAGATTGTGCCAATGCACTCCAGCCTGGGCGACAAAGAGAGACTCCATCTCGAAACAAACAAACAAAAAATTACAAAGGAAAGGGCATAAATCAGAAGCATATAGCTCAATGAATTTACCCAAATGAACATACGTGTGTCTCTATCACCCACGTGAAATGAGAGGATTTTCAGTTCCCTATATGACTCCCACCTTGTTCCCTGAAGGTGTGACCACTTTTATTGCAACAAGTGCTACTGGCAGAATATTAAAAATGGCCATATTGTTTATCAGTTCAATAATATAGAATAATAAGTATTGAAGTTACATTCATTTCGTTTCATTAGTTGGTGATAAAAATAAAGCACCAACATAAATGAATCACAAACAGATGACGCTGATGAAACCTGAGGTCTGATCCCAACTCTGTTGCTTATTGGCTGTGTGGCCTTAGGAAAGGCACTTACCCTCTCTGACCCTCGATTTTTTTACGTGGAAAACAGAGGTAATAATACTTTTGTATCAGTTATGATTTGCCATAATAATGCTACATAATAAACTACCCCCAAATGTAGTGGCTTAGAAAAAATATTTGGTTGTTGCTCACAAGTGTCTGGATGGCCTGGACCGCTCTCTTGGTCCAGGATAGTTCTTGAGCTTGTGTTCAGATTCAGGTGTAGGTTGGGGTAGATGGCTCTGATGATCTTGGCGGGGCTCTCTCACGTGTGGGATCAGCTGGTCGTGAGCCGATCTAGGCAGGCCTTGTCTGGGGTAACCTTGTCCCTGCTCTACAAATGTCTCATCTTCCAGCAGGCTAGCCTGAGCTGTCCTCATAGCACTGGGCAGGGTTCCAAGAGAGCAAGCAGAAGTGGGCAGGGGACCTTGAGGCCTAGACCTGAGGCTTGCACAAAATCACTTCCACTGTGTTCAGTGAGTCACAACAGGTCTAAGGCTAAGCATGGATTCAAGGGGTAGGAAAACAGGCTCCACTTCTTGATGGAGGCACTGCAGTGTCACTGCAGAGAGTATGGATATAGAAAAGTGCAGAGAACTGGGGTTGTTTTATGGTCATTGTTACCATACTCCCCAAAGGGGTCGTTTTGAGCATTTAATGAACAAGAATAAAGAGTGTAACAGCTATTTTATTTTTCCCATAATATTTCACTTATTTCTGATTATTAAAGTAATACATTTTTAATTAAAACACTGGAAACTTCATATAAGTACAAAGAAACTAAAGATACAATCTCCTTTAGCCCTCCCATCCAGAGGCAACCACTGTTACCATTCTGTTTTTTTTTTTTTTTTTTACCATTTTCCCTTTATTATGTTGTCTGTGGATTTTGGATCTTCCTGTACACGTGAGTTTGTTGTCTGTCATTTTCCTCACAGTATTACATTGCTCACATCACCTCCCTTCACTTACAAATCTTAGTAAACCTGCTTGCAGTGGTTGCATCTGATTGTATTTCCTCTCCTATAGACATCAGGGTGGTTTCTAAGTTTAAGGCTTTGTAAATAATACTGTGATGAACATCTTTGTCCACAGCATTTCCCAGACATTTCTGGTGACTTTTTAAATTTTTTGTTTTTTAGATGGAGGCTCGCTCTTGTTGCCCAGGCTGGAGTGCAATGGAGCGATCTCGGCTCACTGCAACCTCTTCTTCCTGGGTTCAAGTGATTCTCTTGCCTCAGCCTCCCAAGTAGCTGGGATTACAGGCACCTGCCACCATGCCCGGCTAATTTTTGTATTTTTAGTAGAGACGGGGTTTCACCATGTTGGCCAGGCTGGTCTCGAATTCCTGACCTCAGGTGATCCGCCTGCCTTGGCCTCCCAAAGTGCTTGGATTACAGGCGTGAGCCACCGCACCCAGCTTCTGGTGACCTTTTTGTGGCAACTATTATCCTCATAGTTTACACTTGTTACCTCCAGCACCAAACACTCAGCCTAGCACTCATTATGTTCTCAGTAAATATTTTAAAAGTGTGGACTGAGTTACCAGTTTCTGATAAAGCTGTCAGCGTGATGGCTGACACCCTGTATGATGAGCAGAATGTCATTGGAGCGTTGATTGACAATTTTTCTTCCCACACAAAGGCTAAAAGGTGATGAATAAACAACCTCATTAACAACTGGGAAAATTAATTAAACAGACATTTCTCCAAAGATTTACAAATGCACGCAAAAAGAAGCTCACCATCACAAATTGTAAGAGAAAGGCAAATCCAAACCACATTGAGACACCACTTCCCACACACTATAATGGCTACTAAAAAAAAAAAAAATCAGAAAATAACAAGTGTTGGGGCGATGTGGAGAAATGTCAACCCTTGTGCGGTATTGGTAGCAATGTAAAATAGTGCAGCCGCTCTGGAAAACAGAATGGTGAACCTCAAAACATAAAAAAATAGAATTCCCACGTAATTCAGCAATTCCATGTCTGGGTGTATACTCAGAAGAATTGAAATCAGGGACTCAAAGGGGTATTTGTGCACCAAACTGCAACATTATTCACAATAGCCCAAAGGCAGAAGCAACCCACGTGTGGATTGCAATTGACAGGCAATGGACAAGCAAAATGAGATACCCACATCACAAGATAGGCACTTACTAGGAAGTATTATTCAGCCTTCAAAAGGAAGGACATTCTGACAAAATGGCACAGGCTGGATGAACTCTGAGGACATTATGCTAAGTTATGTAAGTCAGATACAAAAGAACAAATACTATATGATTTCACTTACATAAGCTACTTAGAAAAGTCAAGATCAGAGGCACAGAAAGCAGGGTGCTAGGGAAGAAGGAAACAGGGAGTTAAGTTTCATGGGTACAGAGATTCCGTTTTGAAAGATGAAGAAAGCTGTAATTCCAGCACTTTGGGAGGCCGAGGCGGGTGGATCACGAGGTCAGGAGATCGAGACCATCCTGGCTAACACGGTGAAACCCCGTCTCTACTAAAAATACAAAAAAGTAGCCGGGCGCGGTGGCGGGTGCCTGTAGTCCCAGCTACTGGGAGGCTGAGGCAGGAGAATGGCGTGAACCTGGGAGGTGGAGCTTGCAGTGAGCCGAGATCGCACCACCGCACTCCAGCCTGGGCGACAAAGCGAGACTCCGTCTCAAAAAAAAAAAAAAAAAAAAAAAAAAGGAAAGATGAAGAAAGTTCTGGAGATGGTTGCTGGTGATGAATGCATAACAACATGAATGTATCTTATACCACTGAACTGTATACTTAAAATGACTAAAATGGTAAATTTTTTGCTATGTATCTTTTGCCAAAATTTTTAAAACCTTTTTTTTAAAGGGCCAAGAGGTGATGGAAGTCCTCTCCGCTCTTTCCTTCTTCAGAAGTCTTCTTCCCCCTTCAGCTCGCTAAAAGCGCTAACTTTTAAATCCTGTGATTTTTTCCAGGAAGGTGTTCCTGTTCAGTTTGACCTCCCGGACCCCTCCCCAGGGACCACTGTGGCTGCTGTGGATCACAGTCCCTCTCAGGTAACACGGGGCCCAGCCAACCCAGGCTCTCAGATGCCGGCTGGCCATGTTTGAAATGCTCATGAATTTGAGTCTTCAGTCTACTAGTTGTCAATGCCGTCTGCACCTAGAGTCACCCCAGGATCATTGGAAACGTGGATGCCTGGGACCCACCCCCAGATTCTGTGTAAATTGGTCTGGGTTGTGGCCTGAACAATGGAAATTTAAGCGTCATCAGGTTGAGAACCGCTGCTCTCCTTTATGTCTGAGTCTATGTCTTAGACTAGCCCCATGCCTGGGAGGCTGAGGCCTGAGCCAAAGCGAGTTCAGGGCTCACGGCCAGAGGCCTCCAGCCACTCTGGCCTGCAAAGGTCAGATGTTTGAATGAAGGTGCTGTTCCCAGAAGAGACTGGGGACCTTGGGGAACTGGAGAATAGGGGACCATGTTGGGTGCAGGGCCCTGAACTCATTTAGGGGCAGACAGGTGTTAGTTTGAGGGAAGCGGAGTCTTTACCTCACTCATCCCTAGAACTCACTTTGCTACCCCAGATCTGCACCTCTGCTCAACTCAGAACTGCCTGTGACAGTTTCACTTGACTTTTTTGTCTTCCTCTTCACATTTTAGTACAAAAGTGCTTGGGCCATGGAACCTGCCATGCTTGGGTCCAATCTTGGTGACCTTGGGTGTGTTGCTTCACCTCTCTGAACCTCAGTTTCCTTATTTCCAGAATGGGGATGCTACTTTCTCTGGGTTGCTGTGAACATCAATGAGATATTGTACATAAGGCACCTGACATGATGCTTGGCACAGAGGAGGTGCCCTGCTGGTGGCATCTCTCCTGCCATCTGACACTGCAGGCTGCCGCTGTCCTTTTCTTCCTTCCTTGTCTCCTGCTGACCAGAGTTGGCTTGCAAACTTTCTCTTGGCACACAGTGGGCTGCACCCATCTTTGCAAAGCCCTCTCCTGTGTAAGCTGGGCTGGCTGTTCTTAGGTCAGTGTGTTCTTCTGGTTGGCATCTGTCTGGTTCATTTGCTTCCACACTGTGCTTCCTCACCTGTGCCTCTCCTGGGAAAGGGTGAGCCTGAAGGGCTGATTTAGCAGTGTTGGCTGGGAAGGGCAGGGTAGTCTCCAGGACCTGTGGCTGCAAACAGCCTTTTTCTTTCCCTTCCTTCCTTCCTTCCTTCCTTCCTTCCTTCCTTCCTTCCTTCCTTCCTTCCTTCCTTCCTTCCTCCTTCCTTCCTTCCTTCCTTCCTTCTTTCCTTCCTTCCTTCCTTCCTTCCTTCCTTTCTTTCTCTTTCTTTCTCTTTCTTTCTTTCTCTTTCTTTCTTTCTCTTCTTTCTTTCGCTCTCTCTCTCTTTCTTTCTCTTTCTCTCCTTCCTTCCTTCCTTCCTTCCTTCCTTCCTTCCTTCCTTCCTTCCTTCCTTCCTTCCTTCCTTCCTTCCTTTCTTTCTTTTCTTTCTCCTTTCCCTTCCCTTCCCTTCCCTTCCCTTCCCTTCCCCTCCCGTCCCCTCCCCTCCCCTCCCCTCCCCTCCCCTCCCCTCCCCTTTTCTTTTCTTTCTTCTTTATTTTGAGACAGAGTCTCACTCTGTTACCCAGGCTGGAGTGCAGTGGCGTGATCTCGGCTCACTGCAACTTTTGCCTCCCAGATTCAAGCGATTCTCATGCCTCAACCTCCTGAGTGGCTGGGATTACAGGCATGCACCACCATGCCCAACCTTCACAGCTATTTTCTGAGGACCTTCTGAGCATGGGCTGGCTATCAGTTTCAGCCCCAGTGAAAAAGGCCAAGGTGAAGGATACCTGGGATCCAGTTCCAGCTCTGCATCTTTGGGTCTCCATCCATGAGACCCTGGATGTGCCCCCTTCCCCTCTCCAGGCCTCTGAGGGGTGTGGATTCCTCAGTTAGGGTGACCAACTGTCGTGGTTTGCATAGGACTTTCCCAGCTTTAGTACTGAAAGTTTCATGTCCCGGGCACAGTAGGACAGTTGGTCACTGTGAATATTGCATTTCCTCTATAACCACTTGCTGGCCTTCTTTTGGTTGTGCCAACTCCTTGTGGGCCCTCAGGGAGGCCCTTTAAACTCCCCAGGCCTCTCTGAGTTTCCCATATGCACCATTACAGGGTTGACTAGATGGTCTCTGAAGCTTATGGCTAGATTTAAAATTCTACGTCTGTGCTATTGAATCATGTTCACCTTCTCTGAAATGTTCTTTGAGTGCTTATTGTTTTTTTTTTCCTCCTCAAGATTTTAGTTTAAGGAATACAAGGACTTTTTAGAGGAAACAATGCAGACAGAATTAATCCTTTCTCGTTTGATTGTGCACAAATAGACCAACTGCCTGTATGTATCTAGAAATGTGCAATGTCCAGAGGGTTCCCCTTGTTAAATCCTCACCACGGCCCTCCAAGGAAGGTATTTTCAGTCTCCATTACACAGGAGGAAACAGGGCTCAGAGAAGTGTAGTAAGTTGCCCAAGACCACACAGGAGGTGAGCACAGAGGCAGGATTTGGACAGCTTGCAAATGAGCAGTTGCTGTCGTTTCGTGGCTTCAACACTGAGTCTGGGGTGAATGGGAGCATGGTTTTGGGTAGGCACATTCTGAGTCCTGATGCTTGGGACTTAGATGGTCCCATTCCCCTTCGGTGGGAAGAGAAGCCCAAGACAGGCCTCTGATGGGGATCAGGGCCCTTCAGTGAATCCTGGGTCTCCCACCAGGTCCGCTTACCAGCTGGAGGAGGTGCCCAGGATGCCAAAGGCCTTTTCTGGGTCTTGGATGAGGAAGTCCGTGTAGAGGGCTCCAGTGACAGTGTGGTGCTCGAGCGTCTGTGTGCTGCCTTCGAGAAGAAAGGAGCTGGGACTGAAGGTAAGGAAGCAACGAGCTGGGGATGGGGCCTGAGTCCAGCCTGGGTGTTGGAATCTATCCTCCTCAGCTGCAGAAAAAGGCCTGAGAAGGCCTGCACAGAGGCTCCAACCTGCAGAGGTGAATGTGCATGAGCCTGTGTGTGCTTTCATTCATTCAAATATTCAGCGAACACATTGGGCAGCCACTGTGTGCTGGGTACTGTTCCATGTGATAGTTAACCAGCCTGGAGTGGGCCATGTCCTCATGGGGAAGGGACGAGCTCACAGCCAAGCACACGTGTGTACGCTGAGCCTGCAACTGCACTCTGATGGGGCGCATCAGGGTGCATCTCATTTTTCTGGTAGCCAGTGGGAGATGCATGCAGATGAATCTAACAGAGAGCCAGGAACACGATGCGGGACAAGTTTGGAGATGGCTTCTGGGCTCAGACTGCAGACACCCTTGCTGGTCATGCAAAGGTCTTAACCCTAGAGCAACGAGAAGCCATGAAGGATTCTAGGCAGTGGGAGGCATGATGAGCTTCACATTCTGGAAAGTTCCCTGAGGCTGTAGTGTGAAGATATGGTAGGAAGGCAGGTGGCCAGGGTGAGAGAGGAGCTGGCTGTGGCCAGGGTGAGAGAGGAGCTGGCTGTGGCCAGGGTGAGAGAGGAGCTGGCTTGCCCCAGGAGGTAAAGCTTCCAGAGGTGTTTAGCAGGTAAAGTCCATAGCACTTGGTGGGAGTTGGATTGGTGGAAGGGGGAGCAAGAGGGGAGATGAAGATGTGAAACCAGAACAAAGTGATCATGAAATTCGGTATCCATAGGCTCCAAGTTGAAGTCTAGTTATTTCTACTTTCCCCTGCATGATGTGGGGCAAACCTCTCGTAGTCTTAGTTGATATGTTTTTAAAATGGGGAAAGAAGTCACCCCTTACCCCTTTTTCTCTACCATTTCTGCTACGATGATTGGGTCATATTAAGTGCATGCAGAGCTTTGTTACCAGGGGCAAGGTGTTGCAGGTTTATTGATGAGAATGAGGATGCTGATGGTGACGGAGAACATGATTCCGGGGTTGGGGAGTGTTGCATTGCTCTGCTCAGAGCTGCATCCTCAGCTTTATGGATATCTTCTGGTAGGATTCTGCCCCACACTTAGAGATACATATTCTTATTCCCAAACTGAGTTTCAGAAACACTTGTGCAAGGTCACCCAGAGGAGAAGGGTCAAAAGGCAGATTCAAAACATGGTTTGTCTGGATCTGAGACTCAGATCCCCACACCACTAGGCACTTAAGAAGGCAAAGGTACTGGCTGGGCGTGGTGGTTCACGCCTGTAATCACAGCACTTTGGGAGGCCAAGGTGGGTGGATCACTTGAGGTCAGGAGTGCCAGACCAGCTTGGCCAACATGGTGAAAACCCATCTCTACTAAAAATACAAAAAATTAGCTGGGTGTGATGGCGCACACCTGTAGTCCCAGCTACTCGGGAGGCTGAGGCAGGAGAATCTCTTGAACCTGGGAGGTGGAGGTTGCAATGAGCCAAGATCGCACCATGGCACTCCAGCCTGGAAAACAAGAGTGAAATTCCATCTGAAAAAAAAAAAAAAAAAAAAAAGAAGGTAAAGGTACTTAGTGATCTTATCAGTCCCAGCCCTCTTTGAGGCCAGGATGTGTGCTCTTCCTCATTCATTCCTTGGTCCATTCAGAAAATATGGATGGAGCACCTAATACGTGGCAGCCACTGTCCTAGCCCAGGAGATGCATCAGTGAAGAAAACACACATCTTCACCCACATGGCACTGCCCTTCCAGCAGAGAAGAGACAGTAAGGCAGGTGCGTCTGACAGAAGAAGACTGAGGACTGTGGCTGTGGTTGAAGTCACTGAGAGAATAACGCTTGGCTGAGAAGATGTCCAAGGACTAGGTTCTGGGATATTCCTATGTCAAGGTGTCAGGGACAAAGCAAACAACCAGCACAGGAGACCGAGGTGTGGTCAGGGAGGCAGGAGGGAAACTCAGGAGAATGTGACTCCCTGAACGCCACAGGAGGAGGGAGGGATCGACTTTATCAAACGGGGCTGAAAGGTCAAATGAGGTGTGAGCTGAGGAATGACCACTGGATTTGGCTACGTTGAAGTCATTGGCGATGTAGACAGATGCATCTTGGTGGAATGTTTCGGGTGATTGTCCAACTGGAACAGCTTATAAGAAATTGGGAGAAGAGTCACCATCCAGTGAGTGAGTGCCGCCAGAAGCTTCTGCCCTATGGTGACCAGCAGGGGCCTCTGTCTGAGACTTTCATGATGGATTCCTGTGCCCACATCCGGACAGGATTGTCTAACCAGTGAAACAGCAACAGCATCTGATGCCTCCTGCAACTCTCCCTGGAGCAAGCTCACAGTGCAAATCCCTCAATTATTCCCAGACAGCTTGGCTCTGCCAGTGACTGGCGCAGAGCTGACTTCTCTGCCCATCATGGAGGCACAGTGCCTGGTGTTCTGGGGGCCTATGAAAATGTGGTTTTAAATTTTTTTAAATTTTAAGGTCAGGGGTACATGTGCAGGATGTGGAGGTTTGTTATATAGGTAAATGTGTGCCCTGGTGATTTACTGCACAGATTGTCCCATCACTCAGGTATTAAGCCCAGCGTCCATTAGCTATTCTTCCTGATGCTCTCCCTCCTCACCCCACCGTGTGCCCAGTGTGTGCTGTTCTCTCCCAGAAAACGTTTTAATTTCTGGAACGAAAAAGAACTTTTAGGTCAAGTCAAGTGCAATTCTTTAATATATGCCTATATATTAAATTATATATACACACATATATGTGTGTGCATATATGTGTAATTTATATGTATATATAATGTGTGTATATATACATATATACGTATACATATATACATATATACATATACATATATACACACATAGAGAGAGAGAGAGACGGAGTTTCACTCTAGTCACCCAGGCTGGAGTGTAGTGGCGCGATATTGGCTCTCTGCAACCTCCGCCTCCTGGGTTCAAGCAATTCTCCTGCCTGAACTTCCCGAGTAGCTGGGATTACAGGCACCTGCCACCACGCCTGGCTAATTTTTTGTATTTTTAGTAGAGACGGGGTGTCACCATGTTGGCCAGGCTGGTCTGGAACTACTGACTTCAAGTGATCCACCCGCCTCAGCCTCCCAAAGTGCTGGGATTACACACACACAGTCATGCACCCCCTAGCAATGTTTCAGTCAACGGACTGTGTATACAAATGGTGATTCCATAAGATGATAATACCATATTTTTACTGCACCTTTTTTATGTTTAGATGTGTTTAGGTATACAAATACTTACCATTGTGTTATGGTGGCTTACAGTATTCAGTGTGGTCACATGCTGTACAGGTTTGTAGTTAGGAGCCATGGGCTGTACATACAGCCTATGTGTGTAGTAGGCTGTACCATCTAGGTTGGTGTAAGCATACCCTATGGTGTTCCCACAAGGGCTGAATCACCTAATGATGCAGTTCTTGGAGTTCTCACTCCAAAGGCCAGGCGGACTCGTGGCTCTCCAGGCTGTCAAAGGGACCCCTGTCTCTAGGTATGATATGGGCTCAGGAGTGGAGATTTTGGGGAGGCAGGGAGGCATTTCCACCTCCCATTGCACAACCGTGTGTGTGTATGTGTGTGTATATGGATATGCCTGTGTGTAAATATATGTGTATGTGTGTGAACATGTGTGTGTATATGTGTATATGTGTGTCTGTATGTGTATGTGTGTATTCATGTGTGCCTGTGTGTGTGCATGTGTGTGTGTATGTCTAGTTGTATATGTGAGGGTATGTATGTAGTGCATGTGCATGTGTGTATATATGTGTGTGTATATATGTGTGTGTGTATATATGTATGAGTGTATACTTGTGTGTATATGCTTGAGTGTGTTTGTATATATGTGTGCACGTGTGTGTATATATGTATGAGTGTGTTTGTATACGTGTGTGTATGCATGTATATATGTATGTTTGTGTGTATGTGTGTATATATGTATGAGTGTGTATACGTATGTGCATGTGTGTATATACGTATGTGTTTGTATATATGTGTGTATGTGTGTATATATGTGTGTATGTGTGCATATGTTTGTATATATGTGAGTGTTTGTATACATGTGTGCATGTGTATATGTGTGTACATATGTATGAGTGTGTTTATATATATGTGTGTATATATGTATGAGTGTGTTTGTGTATGTGTGTATATATGTGTATATATGTATAAGTGTGTTTGTATACATGTCTGTGCATGTGTGTATATGTGTGTATATATATATTTTCATGGAGGAAGGTGCCCAGGAAAGCAAAAGTGCCTAGGACCTAGGAAATCGTGCCACAGTCCTGGCCGTGCTCATCCTGCAGGGGTCCTGGCATTTACTTAATCCTGGCAATGATGGATTCCCCTCCATGCACAGGGGTGTGAGATGCATCTGCCCCTTTGCTAGCTGGGAAAGGAGAATGAATGAGTGGCAGAAACTGCTAGTTGTGGAGCCCTTGGTTGGAGCCAGGCCTGTGGGCTTCACTGCACCCCAGCTACAGGGAGGTGATTGAGTCCTTGCTGAGGTCCAGTGGCTTCCCAGGGCCCTGTAGGTGCTGAGCACAGGGCTAGCACTGAACCTGGGCAGCCTCACTCCAAAGGCCAGGCGCACTTGTGGCTCTCCAGGCTGTCAGAGGGACCCCAGTCTCTATGTATGATATGGGCTCAGGAGTGGAGATTTTGGAGAGGCAGGGAGGCATCTCACTCAGATCTCAGAGTGAGATCCATCTCACTCACCCAGCCAGGAGAAAGAGCTGGGGAACCCCAGCTTTGGGCCCCAGAGCCCTGAGGTGGCTCCTGCTCACCGCTCAACTGTACCGTTGGTGACTCCTGGAAAGTCCCCTCCCGGATCCGTAGGACAGCAGTCCTGGTGAAACCCGGGGGCTGTGGTGAGGATGAAGGTGCTGCGTACACGGAGCATTTCCACCTCCCGCTCCTTCAGCTCTCTGCTCAGAGCTCCACCTTTAGATGCCTTCCCTGCCCTGTCTGAAGCTGTCCCCCTGGCAGCCTCATGACCCCATCACGATTCCCTGTTTCCTCCTTCAGGGCCCTTGCCAGGCTCTGTGAAGTTGTGGTTGTTTCTCTGCTTGCTTGCTTGTTGCCATTCTCCCTACGACCCTGCGCTCCCTGAGGGCAGTTGTTCCTGTTCACTGTCTCCCCAGGGCCCTGATCATAACAAGGCCGTATCTGCATGTTCCCCTCCCCTCTCCTGTTCCCATCACACAGCTCTCTTTGCTGCTCTTCAAACACACCATGCACATTCCCACCTCTGGGCACTGACGTCAGCAGCTCCTTCTGCCTGGAGGGCCCTTCTGCCACATTCCAACCCAGTGCTGCCCATGGCCTTTCCCCGACCTCCTTGTGAAAAGCAGTGACCCCTCCCCGCCTGTGATCCTGGCTCCCTCCCTGGTTTTTCTCTTCCCCGCTGCTTTGGTCACCAGGGCATGTCCCACATTTGCTCGTCAGTAATTTCCCCTTGGGGAAGGCCAGCTGCATGGTGACAGGGGCGAGGCTGGTCACCTCTGCGGGGATGACAGCTGGCACAGCTGGCGGGATGAGGTGCACAGTGAATACTTTTTACAAAACTGATGAATATGTGAAAACTCAGTGTTCCAGAATCAATGAAATGTTTTATCAAAGGGAATGTTTTCTGGATCCTGCCTTGTAGGCAAAAGAGATGGAAAGTAGGGTTGGAAGCAGAAGGCATATGGCAGAGTGAGGCTGGAGTGGGCAGAAGGGGATGTGGTTAGATTTGGGGCCCCTCTCCTTTATCCATGAGGTCTATCGTGTCAGTCGCAGACATCCCTAGCAGGATGCTATAAAGCCCTCAGTTCCCAAGGGAGAGACTCTGTCCATATCCTTTGCCTTAAACCCCCTGATAACACACATTAATTATGACATTTTGTTTCAAAAGAAAAAATAGTTCTCTTCCCCTATTGCTTTCTGGTTGGCTCTGAGTTAATGAGAACATTGGATCATCCAGAACACTTGGGGCATTCCGGCTAACCCAGGGCTCGCTGTTTATGACCTCTTTCCCTTACCTCAGGTACATTTGCTGAGTGTTCCCACAAGGGTCAGCAGGGATCAGCCCTCATGGAGCCCAGGCGCAGGGGACAGTCAGGTGACAGGCCCTCATCAACCTCCGAGTGTGACTTGCAGAGGCTGAAGGAGCCCTGTCTAGGGGCCCCCTCAGCTTCAGGCTCCTGGGGGAGGTGACGAAGCCTGAAGTTGTGAGAGAGATATGCCGGATAAGGCTCCATCTTCCAGAAGTATCCATGGGGCTCCCGAAAGCCAAAGACTTCATGGGAAATGCTTTCATGGACAAAATTGTGGAATAAAAGTCAACTTCAGGATAGAGGAGTGAATGAGGGGAACAAGCAGCCTGGAACCTGGGTGCTGTTTTCCAGGACGTTGCCTGGGAAATGCGGCATCTCCATGTGCTGGACACCACCCTGGACAGAGGCAGGCTTTTGGACCCGCAGACCTGTGGGCTCATCCTGCTGTGCGCCATTAGCCAAACTGCCTCATGTCTCTGAACTTCAGTGTCATCTTCTAGAAACCAGCCCAGAGATGCTCACATCACCAACCAGAGTGAAATCACTCATGCTGGCATGTCCAGCAGAGAATGCTAGGAGCCGGGGCTTAGCAAACATCAACATCCTTTCTTCTTTCTTCCCTGTCCCCTACTCGGTCATGATCCTCATTCAGAGCCCAGCCCTGTACTGGCTGCTGAGCCTAACAATGAATCGACCAGTCCCTGCTCTGAGGTTGCTTCCAGTACAGTGGAAGGAGGCAGCCAGGTAAACAGATACCTGTGGCATTGCAAATGCAACGTGGACGTTTGCGCCAAAGCCTGGTGTGTGCTTTGTCACCTTGCTCCCCGTGGGTGCTTTACTCTCCCATTGGAAGGGGACTTTCTTGAGGGCAGGGACTGCATGGCTCTGAAAGCCTCACAGGACACTCTTGAAACAGGGAAACTTCACTTTGCTGGAAGGGTTCTGTGTTGGTAACTTCCGTTATCCTGGACAGGGGCAATCTGGGAAGTGAGCACGGAGTACCTCTAGGCAACCACACAGGTGGCAGATGCCACGCCCTTTACTCCTACACAGGCTCACGGAAGCTGCAGACTCCCACACTGCTTTGTTTTGCAGGGAGTTCCAAGAAATGCACGTCCTTTGTTTCCTAGCTTACTGGAGTTTAGAGGCAGCAAATTAGGATTTGAGGGGAAGACTTAGGACCCTAGTGCATGCGAGTACGTTGGCAACAGCGGGATGGGAAAGCAAAGTAAGATCGTTCCAGATAGATCCAAGAGTCATGATAATCTGATGACTCTTAATAGGAATCCATCTGGGGACCGGGTGCAGTAGCTCATGCCTGTAATCCCAGCATTGTGGGAGGCCGAGGCCGGCAGATCACTTGAGATCAGGAGTTCGAGACCAGCCTGGCCAACATGGTGAAACCCCATCTCTGCTAAAAATACAAAATTAGCTGGGCATGCTGGTTCACGCCTGTAATCCCAGCTACTCGGGAGGCTGCGGCAGAAGAATTGCTTGAACCTGGGAGGTGGAGGTTACAGTGAGCCGAGATCACTCCATTGCACTCCAGCCTGGCCTACAAGAGCAAAACTCTGTCTCAAAAAAAAAAACAAACCAAAAATCCATCTGCGGTCATTCAGTGTGGGGACAGCTATCCCAAACCTGTGATTGCAACCTGTGAGCATCACAATAGTTAGAGTGATATAATAAATGAACAACAATCCCTTAATTAAATAACCCATGCATTCATTCTGCAAGCACTTCTGGACTCTCCCTGTGCCAAGCATGATGCTGGGCACTGGGGATGTGAATATAAACAACACTTTGTGATTTGGGAACACCAGCAAAGGTTTAAGTGCAGTCAAGGGCAGTGATAACCATTACAGCTGACTGAGTGACCATTATGTGCTGGACACTGTACTAAAATATTTTACGTACATTATCTCCTTTAAGCCATGAGCCACTCTGAGAGGTATGCATTATTTAATCCACATTATACAGAGGAGGAAACTGATGCTCACAGACTTACAGGGCTCGGCACCCTTCACACAGTCATAAATGGTAAAGAACCTAGGATTTCTTTAGCCCCCAAGATCAGGCCCATTTGTTTCTCCCACCCCTGTCTCTTGGAACCAATGTGCCCGTATCTCCCAAAAGTATTCCCTGTATTTATTTGGTTGATGGTATTCAAAATGATTTTACGTGGCATACAACTAAATATTTTAAAAATATTTCATCATAATTGCCATGCATATCAGAAAACGGACATGTCTTGCACATCAAATCTGCAATATGATTCTTCTTTTAAAATGAATGTACTGTACTTGTGAAAATGTAAGTCGATTTAAAGAAAACATTAAGTAAATCACAGCCCAGGTGATAGGTGGTTATATATATATAGAAAAACTCAAGGAGATTGAGTATGCAGATGATGTTTGGGAAAAACAGGTATCCTAGATTTAAGAAAGCAAGAAAGAATAAAATGCACTTTGGAAATAATGTACACAAATTCACCACAGCAGGAGAAACGTGGTGCCTTCAACCATGAGCTTTAGTTATCTGGGAACACATTAAGATGGATACTGTGTGTTTAGGGGATGCCAGCTGATTGCAATGTGTCCCCACCAGGCCCTAGCACTCATGCCACCATGTCTCTTTCCAGGGTCCTCTGCCCTGCGGACCTGTGAGCAACCCCTCCAGTGTGAGATTTTCCACCAGCTGGGATGGGACCCTGTGCGGTATGACCTCACGGGCTGGCTCCACAGAGCCAAGCCCAACCTCTCAGCCCTGGATGCACCCCAGGTCCTGCAACAGTCAAAAAGGTGAGTTGGGCCAGGGCTGGGGACAGGGATGGGGCATTGGAGGTGCTGTGTTTTCCTTCCCACCTAAACTATGCAGCTACAACAACACAGTGTGGGAGGGCCAGCCCAGGAATCCCATGCCTCCATAATGGAACAAAGAACCATAACTTGAATTGGAGCAGTGCAATGTCTCCCTGGGGCCAGAGCGAACCCAGCCGAGGAGAAAAGCTGGCCTTCTGGGGAGGTGGAACAAAAGCTAAAAAGCTGTGACTTCTTATTTTGGCACTTTGCCTTTCATTAAGTATCTGAGAGATGATGTGACTGGAACAACTTTTATGGACATTCAAGAACTAGGGGGTCGTAAAACTGAAATGATACGTTTTGTAGCATTAAAAAAAGCTCACCATGTTCCCTGGCTGCTCAGCCCAGAGTGCCGGCATGAGGCTGGCAGCATTCTCTGCTTTTTGTTCAGAGGGTTATTGGAAAATGCTGTGTGTGTGTGTGTGTGTGTGTATGTGTGTGTACGTGTGTGTGTTCGTGTGTGTGTGCATGCACGCTCCCAAGTTCAATGCTGGAATTCTGCAGGGGTAGAGCTTAGAGACAAGAAGAGAAACTGAGACCACCAGGGAGGTGCTGGTGTCTCAGGTGGGCACCAGGGTGAGAAGGGACCACTTGCTCACTACCCCCTATATGCCTCGGATCAGCATAAACGCTTTATTAGTATCCTCTTAATCCTCATCACAACACAAGATCCTTAGTCCCATTTTACACATGAGAAAAATCGAGGCCCTGAGCGGTGAAGTGGCTTGCCTTTGCTCAACACAGCAACACAGGAGCACAGCCAGGACCCAGCTTGAGTCTAAGAGATGCTTGGAGAATTCCCAGCACCTTATGTCAGAGCTGACTAGAAACCCATATCCAGGAGTGGGGCTCGCGAACATCCAGCTCCTGGAGAGAGATCCAGGCCAGGGATGGGACAACAGGAGCTGTGAGCACACAGAGGACTGAATGATGACCCAGGTGGCCCGGGTTGAGTCCTAGCCCTGCCTTTTGTTGCCTGAGTGACCGTGGGCAGTCGCTCTCCCTTCTCTGGTTGTTTCTGCTTCCTGCACCATAAGTAAGAGTTGGACGAGGCTACAAGACTCAGTGGCTATAGCCCAGCTTTGGAGTCAGGAATATGCTCAGATTCTGTTTTTCCCTCTTTTAAGCTACATGACCTGGACCTCAGTTTCATAATCTAAGAAATGGGAATGGGGTCCCAAAGCTCCCATGTCTGATCTAAGAAGGCTTTGGTGACGTAAAATAGCAGATGACCTGTTAGACAGCCTGGTTTATAGTTGGCTCATGGAAGAGGGCAGGCCAGCTCTGCTTTATTGGAACAGACACTTAAAAAGCTAGCACCTTGGCCAGGCGCAGTGGCTCACTCCTGTAATCCCAGCACTTTGGAAGGCCAAGGCGGGCGGGTCACGAGGTCAAGAGATCAAGATCATCCTGGCCAACATGGTGAAACCCTGTCTTTACTAAAAATACAAAAATTAGACGGGCCTGGTGGCGGGTGCCTGTAGTCCCAGCTACTTGGGAGGCTGAAGCAGGAGAATCGCTTGAACCCGGGAGGCAGAGGTTGCAGTGAGCCGAGATCACATCACTGCACTCCAGTCTGGCGACAGGGCAAGACTCTGTCTCAAAAAAACCACCACCACCACCACTAACAAAAAGCTAGCACCCTGGCCACTAACCTCAGAACCTGTTCATGACAGGGATGCTGAGGGAAGGCACTATCTGCTCAGGTGTCAGTCTGGGTATTTATTTATTTATTTATTTATTTATTTATTTATTTATTTATTTATTTTTGAGACGGAGTCTCGCTCTATCGCCCAGGCTGGAGTGCAGTGGTGCGATCTTGGCTCACTGCAAGCTCCGCCTCCCAGGTTCATGCCATTCTCCTGCCTCAGCCTCCCAAGCAGCTGGGACTACAGGCACCCACCACCATGCCCGGCTAATTTTTTGTGTTTTTAGTAGAGATGGGGTTTCATCGTGTTAGCCAGGATGGTCTCAATCTCCTGACCTCATGATCCGCCCACCTTGGCCTCCCAAAATGCTGGGATTACAGGTGTGAGCCACCGCGCCCGGCCCAGGCTGGGTATTTATTTGACATTATCTTGCAGCGCCACAAACTGTGTGCCCAGCCTGAGTCATTCCTTCTTGCATGAAACACATGGCACATGCCTACTGTGTGCTAGGTCTGGTCGAGGAATAGCAGAGAGGATTTTGCCCTCTAAGAAAGTATAGGTGTCGTAGCCTTGCTATAGGTATGTAAGTGACAAGAATATCCACAGGACAGATGCTTTAAGCCTAGGGAGGGAGGGAGCATTTGCAGGTAGAAGACGGGCATCGGGAAGGAGCTGGCATTTGCCGTGAAGCAAAGCCTCACCTGGCAGGAGAGACTGTGAATGAAGGAGAGCAGCTGGGACACATGACTGTAGAGGAGGCTTTAGGAAGCAGAGAAGCAGGAAGCAAAAAGGCTTGTTCCCTTTGCCACCACCCAGGCCAAGGCTTTCCCAAGAACCTCCTAAAGCTCCTCTCTCTTTTCCCTCCTCCCCACCAGAGAGGAGCTGCGGAGTCTATTCCAGGCCCGAGCCAAGCTGCCTCCTGTGTGCCGGGCTGTGGCAGGCCTGGAGGGCACCTCCCAGCAGGCCCTGCAGAGGAACCGCATGGTGAGGAGGACCTTTGCCAGCAGCCTTGCCGCGGTGAGGAGGAAAGCCCCGTGCTCCCAGATCAAGCTGCAGATGGTGAGTAGGCACCCTGTCTCATGGTGTCCTGGCCTTCACTGCCTCCATCCTCATCTCCTCTGCACTGAGTCATGTGCCTACATCATCTCTAACCTCCCCAGCAAGGCCAGAGGGACGAGCGTCACCCCATGCCCCACAGAGGAGGAAATGGGGGCTCAGAGCAGCAATGAAACTTGACTCTGGTCACACCCCCGGGAAGTGACTGATCTAAGTCTGAGGCCTTCAGCCTGTGCTGCTTGGTGTTGCGTTGAGAGGCCTGGAGGAGTTCCCACAAGCTATGAATGCCCTCTTGACTCCAGTGACACGTATGAGAGCCAGACCAGCCCTGTCTGCCTTGCTCACCACCAGGTTCCCCTGGGGCAAGGCGGCAGGGCCCAGCTGGATGTAAATGTGGTACCTAGACCTGGAATGTGAATCCGTGAATAAAGGAGGGCATGAGATTGGTCAGTGGCCAGGCTGAGCACAGATGAGAATGGGCTGAGACAAGGGAAGGACACCTTTAAATAAACCTTGTAGTGGCCTGGCGCAGTGGCTCACACCTGTAATACCAGCGCTTTGGGAGACCAAGACGGGCAGATCACAAGGTCACGAGTTCAAGACCAGCCTGGCCAATATGGTGAAACCCCATCTCTACTCAAAGTACAAAAAATTAGCCAGGCGTGGTGGCGAGCACCTGTAGTCCCACTACTCGGGAGGCTGAGGCAGGAGAATCGCTTAAGCCTGGGAGGAGAAGGTTGCAATGAGCTGAGATCGTGCCTCTGCACTCGATGTCACTCTGGTGACAAAGTGAGACTGTGTCTCAAAAAATAATAATAAATGAATTAATTTTTAAAAAGAAAAAAAATGAACCTCCTGGTGGGTTATAGTGGAAACACCCTTAGCCTGAGTCCTGAGTTCTAGTCCTAGCTCTTCTGCCACTGGTCTGTGTGACCTGGGGCCACTCACTTGCTCTCTCCATGCCTCAGTTTCTCCATCTGTTTCAACAAGGACCATTATTTCTCATGAGTCCAAATCAGGCTGTAGGTGGGAGCTCCTTGATGTAGAGCATAGGGGCCCCAAAGATGCCCAGGTTGGGCTTAATGAATATTTGGGGAGGGTCCAGTCCCCTTTCTGTGTCTCTCTGAGACAACTGGCCCTGACTTCCCTCTATTTGGTCCTAGGATGCACTGACCAGCATGATCAAAAGGTCCCGGCTGCACTTTATCCACTGCCTGGCACTGAACCCTGTGGTGGAAAGCAGGAGTGAGCAGGAATCTCCTACACCACCACAGCCTGGTAGAGACAAGCCTGGGGCAGGTGCACCTCTGGCCCTGGATATCCCAGCACTGAGGGTGCAGCTTGCTGGGTTCCACATCCTGGAGGCTCTGCGTCTGCACAGGACAGGTAAGAGACAGCCAGGACAGAGCACCTTGTCTCTGACTCCTGGGACATCTCCACCCACCAGTGGCAGCCAAGGGATGAGAGCCCCTGCCACGTGCTAGGAGCTTTACACCCAGCATCCTGGTTACTCTTCCCAGCAGTCTTCTGAGATGAGGCCACTGATGCTTAGCGAGGTGGAAGTACTTGCTCATGGTCACCTTGCCTGGACATGGCAGAGTCTGGATCGGGACCCGGGTCTCTTTGAGTCTGAAGTCCACTGGTTTTTTTTTTTTTCTTTATTTCTTCTAAAAAACACACACATACACACAAAACGGGATACATGTACCGCACATGCAGGTTTGTTACATAGGTATATGTGTGCTATGGTGGTTAGCTGCACCTGTTGAAAAAGCCCATATTATTTCTAGAATTGCCTATACACTCCTAGAAGACTACGGCTGTGTCTTCCTTTTAGCCATGAATTTCTAAGGAGCATTGTCTTGTAATAGAGGGTGGAATTTCCGTGATGAGTGACATTTTGGTGTTCATGATGCTCAGTTTGGTTTGGGAGATTGCTGAGATCCCAGGAGATGATGATATGATTTGATGAGGGCTCATATCACCCAGGGATACAGGACGCCCTGAGGCCTAGAGGAGGGAGCTTCCTACTCTCACTGAGAGTCTGGGGAAACCTCACAGCGATGTAATATCATAGTCAGGCCTCGAAGCATAAGAAACTGCTCACCTCTGGCAAGGGGAGGAAACATTAGGCAGAAGGATCAGAAAGTATGAAGGAGGGAGGCTTAAAAGGGGCAGGTTTTCAGAGAAGTGGATTCAGAATGAGTGAGGAGTTGCGGGAGAAGAGGCCCAGACATCCACCAGCGCAGGCTGCGAATGCCTGTGTTGGGTTATCACCAGGTCCACCTGGGGAGATGATGGCCTGGCAGGGGGATGGAGGGGTTCTAATCAAGGGATTGACATTTTTGGGTCTGTATTTTAGTAAGCAGGTGTGCACCTGATGTCCCCACATCAGCTCATCTTAGGAGTTGAGTTTGATCTCAGTCTTTGCTATCCTTTTCTGCCTCTCAGTCCCCAAAGGCCACCACATTGACTCCCCTCTCTGACAGTCAGAAATGGCTCAGACACAGCCATGCTGCCTGCAGAGGACAGAGTGACTGGGACACGCAGAAGTCTCAGGTGGCCACCTCGTTTGGTTAAAGTCTCCGTGGTCACTAGTGCCCTAGTGTATGGTCGCTTCCCCCACCTCCCCCTGCTGGGTTAATAACGGACCCCTGGGCACAGAGTATTTGACTGGGAGCAGCTAGAAGCAAACATGACACCCCCACTCCGCTGAGCATATCAGTGATTTTCCCTCCCGCCCGCACAGCCGCAGAGGAGGGAGACAGATAATGTCACGAGAAGAGGGGGACGGTCATAGCCAGTGGCTGGTCCCCCACACTGAATCGATTCTATTTGGCTGCTTGGCAGGAAGTGCTGGGCCTTTGCAGGCGCCCTGGACCTGGATCAGACTGTTAGAATACCTGTGTGCATTCAGGGTCAGGGCGTCCCCTTCCTGTGTCTGCGGGACCTCATGACACTATCTGCCCTCTCTGTTCTCAGCACAGCCCAACTCAGCCAGGATGAGCTTTCCAACTAAGTGAAGGCTTGATATCTCATGGTAGAAATGTCCAACTTCTGTCTCCTAGACCTGGTTCGTTTCCTCTTTTTATTTCTGTTGTAAGTCACGTCTGTCTCTTTCACACTCACATGAGATATATTTGTATGCATACACAGATACATCAAATATTTATTATTTGGAATCTGTGCATATTATATATATATGCCTATATACACATGCATGTGTGGTACATACCCATGCATGCTGTTTATTGAGTACCTACTACGTGCTAGACACTGTGTTGTCAGATATAACAAATGAGATCATTCTCACTGTGCTAAAGGTATGTAGTAAACTCATTAAACATTGCCTATTGTGCAGCCTGGTGGGCACGGCTCCAACTCTGGAGGGAGGTGGTTTGGCCTTGATTCTGGCCGCCACCTCTCACCAGCCGTGTGACTCTAGGAAATTCGCTAGGGCTCATCTTCCTTTCCTCTCCTGTAATAGCTCATACCTCTGAAGGTTACTGTGGGGCTGGGTGCATTAAATAAGACAATAAAGCTCAGAAGAGTGGCATGATGTGGAAAAGCACGTGATACCCCTTAGCTGCTTTTACTATCATTGTCATCGCATTTAATCCTCATAGTGACCATGTGAAGATAGATCTTGTTATTCTCATCTGACAAGTGAAGCAATGGAATCTCAAAAAGGTGAATCATTTTCCCAGTCATGGGGCTCGTAAGCACAGAGATGGGACGTGAACGCAGATAGGTCTGCCCTAAAGGAGGCTTGTAAGCTCCCAGGTCCCCCATCTCTGTGCTGTCTGCGTCCTTCAAAGTTGGTCTGAGACCTTCCTCTTCCCCAGGAAGTCTTCCAGGATTAGCCACACACACGATTGCTGTTCTTCCTAGTTGATGCATCTGGCTTATCGTGAAGTCTCAAAAGTGGAGTGAGATTTTACCATACCTTTTCTGATCCAGTCACACGAGGGGTCTTTCTGAAGCAATCGAGGCTCTTCTCGCACCCAGGGAAGAGTCTAAATCTTGAGACCTGGAATTTGAGTTCAATTTCCTTTGGGACCTGGTTTCTGCTCTTCTTTGGCTACTCTCCACTGCCTGGGTTTGAGTCCCCACTGAGACAGTTACTATTTTTGCTTGTGTAACTAGGTGAATTCATCTCTCTGGGTCTCAATTTCCCCTTTTGTAAAGTGAGGATAATAATATAGGCCCATGAGTGTCTGTAACACGAGGAAGTTGTTACCCTAGTGATTTGCACACATAAGCTCTCAGTAAATGCTGGCTGTTACTGTGAACTATAAAATAATTGTTTTTCTTTTTTGGGACAGTGTCTCGCTCTATCACCCAGGCTGGAGTGCAGTGGCACGATCATGGCTTGCTGCAACCTCTGCTTCCTGGGCCCAAGTAATTCTCCCACCTCCAGAGTGGCAATGACTACAGCATGCACCACCATGACTGGCAAATTTTTGTATTTTTTGTAGACACTATGCCCAGTCTTAGAACGTATCTTATACTTCCCTGATCTAGGTCTTGTTTGTACAGCTCCCTCTGCCTAGACTTCTCTTCCATACCAAGTTCTTTTGGAAAACCCTATGGCTTCTTCACAAACTGAATCTAATGTCATTTTCTCCCAATAGCTTTTCAGGCACCCCTTCTCTTCCCAGTTCCCCACACAGAAGGATGCAGCTGTGTCCACCCTGCATGGTAGACTTACAAAAGCCCTTAGATACTGCCCAATGCAGCATGCTTCACATACAGTGTATGGGGTGGTAATTCGTGTTAAACAAAACACTTTCCTTTGTCAAACAGGTTTTGGAACCTCTGGGCTAACATTGGGAAACTCAAGGCTAGTCGGGCATCTGCCCTGCATGAGTTCTCAGAGTCCTTGACTTGGGTGCTGACATGCCTCTTCCAAGAGGCAGATGAGTGTGCAGCTTTTTCAAACTTGCAGTGGAGCATTTTATAGGGTTTGTGTTCTCAGGAACACCCCTGGGAAGTGCTAATCAAATCTAGTCTCTTAAATTAACAAGTGGAGAAACTGAGGCCCCAAGATATGAGTCCATGCAGCAACTTAGTAGCCAGGTTGGGAGCAGGACCCTGAACTCCTGTCTGGGGGTTTAGGGAACTGGGCTGGGTCTTCTCATCTGGACTCTGTGCTCTTCTCCTGCCTGCTCCTACCTCCCTAGGCTATGCTGACCACGTGGGGCTCACTCACTTCCGCCGGCAATTCCAGGTGCTGGACCCTCCACTCCTGAAGAAGCTCATGTCGACCTCCGAGGGAATAGATGAAAGGAAGGTAGGTGGAGCACATGGAAGAGGGGTGAAGGCCCCAGATACGGATATGTTGGTTATTGGATATGTTCCAAGGCTGGGCACGGTGAGTGGCTCATGCCTGTAATCTCAGTGCCTTGGGAGACCCAGGTGGGTGGATTGCTTGAGTCCAGGAGTTCAAGACCAGCCTGGGCAACATGGCTTTGACTGAGGTCTGATGGGCTTGTGTTCCATAAGGGATTGCCCCAGGGGGCATCTGGACCAGCTGGAATCTGAAAGCAGGACCATGGGGGCAGTGCTGAGGGCAGCATGAAGTTTCGTTCAAATCCTTGCTCTAGACCAAACCCACACAACAATGTCATTTGGGACCCGACCCAGCCCAGAATGACCCTTCTGGCCCCTACATAAGGAACTTTAGGAAAAGAATAAGAATAGAGTCATGAGAAGACAGCATCCCAGCTAAAAGGGCCCCTAGTAAGGTGAAAAGTCATCATTTGCAAACTGTGTTCCATTCAGCACCAGCACCCTGAGGTGGTCTATGAAAAGAGGGCTTCAGGGTCTAAAATGTTTAGGAAACATTTACATCAGGGCTCCGTGTTTGAGAATTCTAATGAACATCACGCCTTAGGGCCTTTGCACGAGCTGTTGACTCTGCCTGGAGCACTCATTCCTCAAATCTTTGCATGGCTGGTGTCATCTTGCTATTCAGATCCCAGCTCAGATCTCATTCACCATCACATCCTCTTGTTTTGATGTGTGTGTAGCACTTATCTGAAATAATGTGAATCTCCTCTATGTTTTCTGGCTTCCAGCAAGAGCTCAGTAATTTTTTTGTTGAGTGAATGAATGAATGAATGAATACCCGGGCCTAACTTTGTATTTTTGTCCCTGTGTGTCTTCTTTCTCCAACTACAGCGTAAACTCATGGAGTCTCATCTCTACTTCCAGTGCCAAACTTTCAGTAAATGTTTCCCTTAAGAATGGCCACAGGCTTATCAATGATTAGAGACGTTGTTAGAATTTGCAAAGCCCTATTTCATCTTCGTAACAGCCCTGCAAAAGAAGAGCGATTACTCCCCATTTACAAAAGAGAACACCACGTTTCTTAGAGATGAAGTGGCGCTCCCGAGGCCACACAGCCAGGCTTTTGTGGGTTTGCTCCTTGGACTCAAGTTTCTCAATTCCAGGGGACGATAGTTTAAAGAGCATAGTTCATAAAGGGAGGTAGTTCAAACCGACCTGAATTTGATTCCCAGCTGGGGCTGTGTGAATGTAAACTAGTTATGTCATCTTTCTGCCTCCCTTTCCTCATCTGTAAAGTGGGAAGGACCACAATGCAGAAAATATATAGGGGAATCCACATAATTTCAGGATAAGTGCTACAAAAAGTAATTAAACAAGCGGATGTGATGGAGGGTGATAGCTAAGCTGGGATCTGAATAGCAAGATGAAAGAGTACTCCATGCCACTCAATGGAGTGTTCTGAGAATGGCATGTAATAGTATAGTTCATTTACACAGGGCCTGGGACATAGTAAGGGCTCAGTATACACTAACCACCGTCATCAACATCAGCAGCAGCACCATCAGTGTCATCATCCTCTTTCAGATCCAGGGTGATGACACACAAGTCGCACAGACCACGTGTTCACAATCCTGTTGCAACTGCACGTGCCTGCATGTGCCTGAGATCATCAGCACTGCAGTCCTCAATGAATGAGTCAGAAGACTAGAAGTAAACAGAGTCACAATTCTTAGGTGTCTTCTTAGTTCTTCTTTGCAGTGGGTACCAGGGCACAAGCCACTTTCAGTAGACAAGGCAGTGACTTCTGCAGGGCCCTCCTAACTCACTGTGGAGGGGACATCATCCCCAGATGTCTGTGGCACAGGGCTATCCCTTCTCTGGGTAGTGGCCCATTTTGGAAGCCATGAAATTCTGCCTGACTTGGTGCCATCAACCTCTCTGTGCCAGTCTTCGTTCAGGGGTTCCTTATTCTTGGTCTCCCCAACTTTGACTTCATTCAGAGGGGCTGAATGGAACCACTGAGAGGGTCTTGGACTCCTCTGTGGTTGAAAATGGTGCAGGAGTCAGGTATGGGGGAGTTTTTTGTGGAGGGAAAGGGTGTAGCATATGGAAGCGTTTCTGTTCTGAATGAGTCAGCAGTTCTCTGTTGTAGCCAAACCAAAACCACCTCCATACATGCTAGAGGCCTCAGAAAATGGAAAATTACAAGGAGAATGGACTTGGTTGGGAATTTTTGCTGCTTCTTATTCTTTTTTTATTTGCTCACAAATTTTATTTGCTGCAGCATAGAATTTTGGTAGCAACAAAAAGAAACACCATCCTGCCTCTTATGAAAAAGCTGATAAATATTCATTTGTCAGGCCACATGACATGCCATGAATTATACATGAACACGTGCTCGGGTGGGCAAACTATCGGTTTCTGTGTGCAAAGCAGTTAAGACCTCAGGATTTAATAAGACAAGGTTGACAGCTAGAAAAGGTCAATATTGTCATTAGACACTAGACGGCAGCAGAGGGGATTCATTGTCAGGGTGTAAAATGGGTCTTGGTGAAGTCCCCTGTGGGTCTAGCAGGTGGGGTCTGAATGTTGGTGTGTCATGCCAAGACTGTTTCCCAATGAAGTACTCTCATTTGGTGGGTACCTGATGGATATATTGCGTTCCTGAAACAGAAGTAGCATATGTCTTTTATCACGGATGCATAAACTCTCATTATGAAATATCAGACATACTATGAAAAGGTTACAGAGCCATGAGCTAAGACAGTATTCAAAATATAAAGCCTTCCCACTCTGGGAATCATCCTCATTTCACAGCGTAGGCAGCTGAGGCCACGACCACCCAGCCAGGTAGTAGTAGAGCTGGGATGTGAACTCAGGCTCTCAGATTCCTGACATAGGGCTTAAAAAAAAATTATGGGAAAATACACATAACAAGAACTTTACCACCATAACCGTTTTTAAGTGTATTGATCAGTGGTATTAAGTACATTCATATTTTTGAGCAACAATAAGCACCATTCATCTCCATAACTTCTTCATCTTGCAAAATTGAGACTTGGTACCCGTTAAACAGTAATTCCTGACTCCTCCTCTTCTCAGGCTCTGACCATCATCGTTCTGCTTTCCGTCTCTATAAATCTGACTACTCTAAGTCCATCATAGAAGTAGAATCATGCTGCATATGTCCTTTCGTGACTGGTTAATTTCACTTTGCATAATGTCCTCAAGGTTCATTCCCGTCACGGCGTGTGTCAGAATTTCCTTCCTGAGGCTGAAAAATATTCCACTGTGGATGTATCCCTTATTTTACCTGTCCATTCAACTGTCAGTGGATGTTTGGGTTGATTCCATGTTTCCTTGTTAACTTTTATTTTAAGTTTGGGGGTACAAATGCAGGTTTGTTGTAACAAACTTGTGTCATGGGGGTTTGTTGTACAGATTATTTCATCACCCAGGTGTTAAGCCTAGTACCCATTAGTTGTGTTTCCTGATTCTCTCCCTCCGTTAGCTATTTTTCCTGATTCTCTCCCTCCTCCCGTCCTGCACCCTTCAACAGGCTCCAGTGTGGGGTGTTCCCCTCTATGTGTCCGTTTGCTCTCATCATTTGGCTCCCACTTACACGTGAGAACATGTGGTATTTGGTTTTCTGTTCATGCATGAGTTTGCTAAGGATAATGGCCTCCAGCTCCATTCATGTTTCTGCAAAGGACGTCATCTCACTCTTTTTTTTCGTGACTGTATAGTATTCCATAGTGTCTATGTACCACATTTTCTTTTTCTGGTCTGTCACGGATGGGCATTTAGGGGGATTCTATGTCTTTGCTATTGCAAATTGTGCTACAATGAGCATATATGTGCATGTGTCTTTACAATAGAATGATTTCTATTCCTTTAGCTATATATCCAGTAATGGGGTTGCTGGGTTGAATGTACAAATATCTCTTCAAGACCCTACTTTCTTTTTTTTTAACTCTTGTTTTCGGTTCAGGGGAGGTGCACATGCAGGTTTATTATAGAAGTAAATTTCAAGTTACAGGGCTTTGGTGTACAGACAAGTTCATCACCCAGATAATAAGCATGGTACACAATAGGTAGTTTCTCAGACCTCACCCTCCTCCCACCCTTTACCCTCCAGTAGGCCCTGGTGAGACCCTGCTTTCAGTTTTTTGGGGTATATACCCAGAAGTGGAATAGCTGGATCATATGGTAATTCTATTTTAAATTTTTCGATGAGCTGCCATACAGTTTTTTATAGCAGCTGTACCATTTTGCATTTCCACCAATACTGCATATGGATGGCAATTTCTCCACATTCTTGCCAACGTGTTATTTTTTGTTTTGTTTTTTGATAGTTGCCATGCTAATGGGTATGAGATGGTGTCTCAATGTGGTTTTGATTTGCATTTCCCTCATGATTAGGGGTGTTGAGCATCTTTTCATGTTCACACAGGACTTGAATGGAAGCCCTCTGAAGGCAGGCAAAATATTTAGTGCAGTTCGTTACAGGACATGCCATTCATGGATATTAACTTTAAATGATTATCATTAATTTCATCCAACTTTAACCAAGTGCTTGCTTTTCACCAGATCCTGTGCTAGGCACCAGCAACTTCCATACAGAGCTGGCTTTGGTACACCCTAGGAGATGCCACTAAAACATTTGATGTTTCCAAGGGAGGTGAGAGCGGGGCACTCAAGGAAGACATCTCAGAAGTAGGTGATGCTTGAGATGAGGTCTGTGAAACTATCTGGAGGAACTGAGTAGGAGGAGGGTTACTGGACATTCTCATGTTAGGTACAGGATTGCAAAGATCTGGAGTCACGGAGGTGCATAGATAGTTTCATGGTGCTGGAGCATAAAAGATGCCAAGTGCCAAGAAAAGGGTCTGAAGACTTCAACAGAAGCAAATTCTGGGTTCTTGTTAGCCAAACTGGAGAGTCTGGGCTTTATCAGGTGTTCAGCGATGCTCCTCTGAAGGGTTTCAGCAGGTGCATGGC